TAGATTGTTAAATCAAATTTGTCTCGAATTCCCGATTAAAATGTTGATTTGTGGTTGGGTTGTGTGGGTTGTGGGCTTTTAAAATGAAAAATGAGCTTAATTTATGAGTTATTTAGTCAAAACTCACTAACCCAAGATGAGAAACCCAAAAGGAAATAGGTAAAAAATCTAACTGCTAAACAGAAGGTAAAATCGAGATTTTACCTGATTTCACGGTAAAATCTAGATTTTACCTGATTTCACGGTAAAATCTAGATTTTATCGTGAAATCCCTAAATTTTATGAATTTCAGATTTTATTATAGATTTTATACGAAAAGTCTTGCTAAAATCGTAAAATCGTAAGATTTTAATATTTAAATTTAGATTTTAACAACAATGATGCCAACGTTTTAAGAAGTTAAATTAAAGACATATTAAGTAGGTGGTACGTACCATAAGTCTTAGGCTTTTAGCTAAATCTCATATATTACTTCCTAAACAAAATTTAGTACTAATTTGGGGGATTGAAAAGTAAAGCATAAATTACTTGGGTGAACTATATTTTATTTAATTATTAGTTATTTTATTTTATTTTTTATTTTTATAATATAAGTTAATAACATCTTTATCAAGTGATGAATTTATTTATATATAATTCTTATATATTGTATTTATATAAAATTTTGATTATTTATTTTTTAATTTTTAATAGCCAAAATTTATTACAACCTCTTGGATAAAAATAATAATTATCTATAATAAATATGAAAAAAATTTAATTATTAAAAGTGAAGAAATGAATGATTAAAAATTTATATAAATGTAATATGTAAATTTATATAAATGTAATATGTAAATTTATATGTAAATGAATCATTATTCTAATTCTTATACTTTTTTATAATTAATTTACATAAAAAAATATAAATTTTAACTTTAATTTAATTAATTAATTAAAATTATTTAAATGATAACAATAATAAAATAAATATTAATTTTTATATTTTTTTATGTAAATTAATTATAAAATAATATATTATTACAATCTTAACATATGCAACTAAAGTTAGATAAACCCTTAATTATTAATGGATGTGAGAATTCCCTAACATTAAGAGCCACCCATCATTAATGTTATAGAACCTTGCCCCATGCCCAATGACTTGTGTGGTCATCACGTCGGTACCACCCATAGCACTACATTCAACTCTCATGTATCCCCTCCCCTCCTCTCCCAATGCCCCAATTTCCCTAAGTTCAAAGAAAAAGGAAAAAATAGAGTAATGTTATAGGGACTGATCGGTCCTGCCTGATTGGCCCTCTAGCTATTTTGGTTTTTCTTTTAAGATATAATAGTTTTTAATTTTTATTTTTAAGTCTTACAATTTTAGTTTCTAAATTATTAAATCGTAAATTTAAATCTTAAACATTACAACTTAATAATAAAAACTCTAATGCTAAAAGTTTTAAATCGTATTACTTAAATTCTAAACTTTATCATATACCTTAAATTCTAAATTTTAAAAAATTTAATTCCTAACTCTTTGAATACTAATAACTCTAAAAAATCTATATCATGACATCCTAAGTATTATAATTTAAAATAAGTTAAGCCCTAACATGCTTAAAACTAAATTTAAAATAAAGTTTGAAAATTCAAAAGTAATTCAAAATAATTGAGGGACTAAAATGAGTTTAAATTACTAAATTAAGAGAGCAATTCTTAGTTTAACTTTAACCATAACAAATTTGTTAGTTGTTTAACCACTAATGGTGATGGGGCTGCCACGAACCGTTCGGCTTAAATTGGTCTAACAGACTGTCGGCCTCCTAATAATTATCCAATTAGAAATACCACACGACATTCTCTTCCGAATTTTACAGGAATATCAGAAGAAAAGAAGACTTTGTTACCATCAATCCTCGAGTATAATGATATGTGTTTTTAATTATTGATTTAAGATACAATATATATATTTTAATTTTGGTTACATAATAAAAAATAATAATATTTTATTTTTATTTTACTTTAATTATATATTATATTATTTAAATTTAAAATTTTTTATTTTAAAAAATATTAAATTTCTTAAATCATTGACGATTTAAGATCCAATAATTAGTTTTTATATTAAAAACACTTTGTTGAGTCAATGTATATTGTTGCAACGTAGGTTGTTGAGTGACTTAAAAGTCAGCATCAGAGATTCAGAACATTGACATAAAGAAAAGAAAGAGGAGATCAGGTTTTTTCAAGTAAAATTTTAACTTTTAAATTTGTAACAAAAAAAATAATTTAATTATAAATTAATTGAAATATAATATACTTTTTAAATACTGCATTAAAAAAAAAAAAAAAAAAAAAAACATCGGACAAGTAGACGACTTTTAAAACGGAGACGTTTTGATTTCCCACTTCACTCCTACATATCTGCCTTTTTTTTTTTTTTGGGGAAAGCTGAATGACACGTGCAAAATGGAAAACAAACGTGACGACTGCTCGGACCTTCATTTTTCTGACACTCGGACACATAGCTGAACTCCACCACTACCCAGAAAAATTAAATGCAGTTTCCAATTCTGTTGGTCATGGGTTGGTTTCATTTATTATTTGGAATTCTCCTTCATTTCAATACATCCACTTCTGCATATATTTGTTTAATGTCCATGATTAGTTCCTGCACATCCTCTGAACCAAGGAGCAGGTGCATTCTCCTTTTTCTACAATTTTGTTCCCTTTTATGTTGATGTGCCCTTAATAATGTCATGTATGATGTTTTGTTCCCCAATTGTTATGAGTATTTTACTTTATTTTATAAAAATTTCGTAGATTTGGGTGCAAGTTAGAATCTTGATCTTGCGTATGGAAAATGGGTAATCTTTTTTTAATAACAAGTTGTTGTTGTAATAAGTTTTTCATTTGAGGACGTAAATATGTTTTAAAAATGCTTCGTTGTGTGCAGAAACAGAGGACTCACTTAGCAGGGCAGAACTCTGGTCAGATGGTAGATCCCACCAATGCTGATTATGTGGAATTGGGAGAAGCTTCGTCTCCCAAACTAGATAAGTACCAAAACGTTTCGATCATACCACTTGTCTTCTTAATCTTTTATGAAGTATCTGGAGGATCATTTGGTGTTGAAGACAGTGTCCGAGCGGCTGGTCCCCTTCTAGCCCTTGTTGGGTTTTTGATACTTCCATTTGTATGGAGTGTCCCAGAGGCACTAAAAACTGAAGAATTAGGTACAATGTTTCCTGAAAATGGTGGATATGTGATTTGGGTTTCACCTGCTTTAGGTCCTTACTGGGGTTTCCAATTAGGTTGGAAGAAATGGTTGAGTGGAGTCATAGATAATGCATTATACCCAGTTTTATTTCTAGATTACATGAAATCAGCAATCCCGGATTTAGAAGGATGTTTCACAAGAACTATTGTGGTTTTGGTTTTGACTGTGGCACTCACTTACTTGAACTACAGAGGTTTAACCATAGTGGGAAGGGTTGCAATATTATTGGGTGTGTTTTTCCTTCTCCCTTTTATTTTCATGGGAATTGTGGCAATTCCCAAACTGGAGCCTTCAAGGTGGTTTGTGGTAGGTTTTGGAAATATGGATTGGGGTTTGTTCTGAAATACTCTCTTTTGGAAACTGAATTACTGGGACTCAATCAGCACTCTTGAAGGAGAGGTGCAAAATCCAAGTAAAAGTCTACCTACGGCTCTCCTTTACACTGTTATGTTGGTAGATTCCACTTGATTGCCTAGGGTGGACTGATGGGTATTTTTCAGAAATTGCTAAAATGTTTGAGGTGTCTGGTTGAGATCTTGGGTCCTGGCAGTTTCTGTACTATCAAACATGGGGATGTTTGTTGCTGAGATGAGCGGTGGGGATGGCAGAACGTGGCATGCTTCCTGAGGTTTTTGCAAAGAGGTCCTGTTATGGAACCCCTATAACCGGGATTCTGTTCTCTGCATCTGGTGTTTTATTGCTTTCATTTTTGAGCTTTCAAGAAATAGTTGCTGCAGAGAACTTCTTGTACTGCTTTGGAATGATTCTGGAGTTCATAGCATTTGTGAAGCTGTGGATGAAATACCCAGCATCTTCTCGAACATATAAGATACGTGTTGGAACAACTGGACCAATCTTATTGTGTATTCCTCCTATCCAATTAATTTTTGTGGTGTTGGCTTTTTCTTCTTTCAGAATCATGGCCATTAGCATTCTGGCCTTTATGATTGGTCTTGCACTGCACCGTTTTCTCTACTAGTCCGAGAAGAAGAGATGGATCAGATTCTCCATGAATGCTGATCGCTCAGATATCCATTCTACATATCAATAATGTATCAAAAATTACTTGCGGCTTCTATTTGAAAATGAATTCTTTTCTTGTTCCAATAGCATTGACATTGAAAATGCATTGTTGGGTCATGTCCTTGTAGAAACTATGCTCACTTTGAGATGGATGTCCTTATGGCTCAATAAAGAGATGGCATCGGTATACTCCTACTCTCTCTACTTTTTCATCTTGCTCATCTGCTTTAGTAAATGAGAAACAAAAGATCTTTGCTTTTTAGGTGAATTCTGTCCTCCAGTTTTTAGAGCTTAAATAATTGATTCAGATTGACATTTAAGCAGTATCAACTACCTTGCAGGCCTCATTATGTATCAAACTCCCCACTACAATTGCTGGGATTATTGGCTGTCTCTATGTCAAGAATGGATAAGGATTAGCTGGATTGTCTTTTACATTATTTACGGTATTTTTAGCTCTATCCTAGCCAAGCACATTATTTCCCAGCATTAATGATTATCATGTGTGCAGAATTATCGCTTGCTGTTCTAGACAAGGTTATGGTTTTTGTCGTTTTACCTAGTGACATGTTGTAAGTACTGATTGTAAGGATAACAGAATTAGTCATTTTGGAAAATCCTAGTAAATTTATTAAGTTTACAGTCATCTATAACAGCAAAGCAAAAGTTCTGTCTATCCTGCGTTTATTTTTGTTTAGTTCTTTAAATTTGTCTATGAATTATGTTCTCCACTACAAAAAATGCCAGGGTTGATGGGTTGTAAAGGCACATGGATACATTTAAATTAGGATGCTGCAGTCCTGTTCCTCATACATAGCTCCATCCTTTTGAGTTTGCAGCAAAGCTAGCTGTTGATGTCTTCACTTTGCTATTATCAGAGAAATCGTCATGGCTGTCACCCGAGTGATTAGGAAGAAGCTTCCATGATTAACATACTGATTGTTGTTTTTACCTCTCAAAGTCATTGTGATTGGGGGGTAGAATTGAATGGTTTGTCATTGGATTATACAAAACTTTTCTTAGTCTATAAAATGCCGCTTTTCTTTTGGCCTTTGCTTTGGTGCTCTGCAAGAAAAAACAAAGTTATAAAGCAAAGAAGAGAAGCAGGAAGAGAGGAAATGGGTGTTCTGAGTAACTCTGCGAGAAGAAAGGATTCCCCCAAAGCACCTCCAAAGAAAAAATCCACCACGTTGCAGTACCTGTTTGATCTGGATTCCAGGAATTACAATGCAAACAGGCTTTCAAGTCCTGTGAGGCAATCTTCTTTGGAGTCTGAATATGAAGAAATGCACTCTGCAATCTCCTACTGCAACTGCATCTTCACTTTTACTGATCCTTGGGAGTCTCCTTCCCAGCAAGATCTCAAGCGGCAAAAGCTCAATCAAATCCTTTCCATGGTAAAATCTTCCAAAAGGTCAGTGGATGAATATCTTCTGCCTCATCTCATGATTATGATATCAACTAATCTCTTCAGGCCACTCCCTCCACCTTCCAACACCTACAACATCATTGACCTTCCTGATGATGAAGAACAACTTTCCAGCTATTCACCAGCATGGCCGCACTTGCAGATTGTATATGACATCCTTCTTGGGCTTGTCCTTAACATAGAACCTAAAATTCTCCGTGATTACATTGACCACCATTTCCTTCTCAACCTTCTCTCCCTTTTTCAGTCTGAAGACCCTAGAGAACGCGAGAGCTTACAGAATGTCTTCCACCGGATATATTCCAGGTTCACCTTTTACCGACTCTTCATGAGAAAAGCAATGAATGATGTTTTCTTGCACCATACTTTCGAGACAGAAAGGCACTGTGGGATATCTGATCTGCTTGAGATATGGGGGAGTATCATCAATGGCTTTGCAGTTCCTCTAAAGGAGGAGCACAAGTTGTTCCTTATGAGAGTGCTCATCCCATTGCACAAGGCAAAAGGATTGCAACTTTACCACAGACAGCTTTCTTACTGTGTTTGTCAGTTCGTGCAGAAAGAACCTGCCCTCGGTGGGGTTGTTGTTAGAAGAATTCTGAAATATTGGCCTGTTACCAACTGTCAAAAAGAGGTTGTGCTCATTGGGGAGCTCGAAGAACTTGTGGAGAACATAGATCCCAATCATTACCGGCAACTGGCTCTTCCTTTATGTACTCGGATAACACGATGTTTAACCAGCTCCAACTCACAGGTAAAACCCTTCTTCCATATGTTCTCTCGCAAAATTTCAGAAGGTAAGAAGAACCCAAGATGGCCGGTTAAATTCAGATACCCTGTTTCCACTGTTTCCTCTGTTGTAATTTCAGGTCGCGGAGCGTGCGCTATATGTATGGAACAATGAGGCTTTTATGAAGATGGTATTAGAAGCATTAGAAGACGTGTTTCCGGTGCTCGTCGAAGGCATGGAGAAGAACCTAAGGATGCACTGGAGCAAGAGTGTGAGGCAGCTGACAGAGAACGTCAGGGCAATGCTAGAAGAAATGGCTCCAAATCTATACTACAAGTGCCTTGAGGATATGGATGTTCGGGAATCCGAGGCTCGTAGGGAGATGATGGAGAGGAAGGAGAGATGGGAAAGAATAGAACTGGCGGCAGCAGCAGCTGAGCAGATGAAGAAAATCGGTTCTCCCGACCACCACAATTTTCAAGTGTGACATCTTGTGCTGGCAATGAATTTCAGAAGTAGTTTAGGGTGTGAATAAAATATGTTATCCAATATCTATACCACGTTGCCAGCCACCAAGAGCAGCGATGTTTCAGAACTTGGGAATGGATAATTGGCGGAAGGGACAATGAAATTTCATCAACAATTTTATCACAAAATAACGTCTTTCATTTTATAATTTTCTAAATTGATATATATTTATTCATTTTTATAGTAAAACTCGTCAAGAGATAGTCAATAAAGAATAAACACAGATGATCCATTTTTAGCCACATCTAAATAATAATAAAAAAAAATAAAGAAATGTTATTCTTAATAGTCCGGAAAAACGAGGAGGTTCGTAGTATTAAAATTATTAAGTTCAATTATAATTATTATTTAAGTATATATAACTAGAATTTTATTTAAATAATAATTGTGATTAAGCGTCTTTATAATTTTAATATTAAAATGTGCTGATTTTTTTTTATTAATCATTTTTACATTAATTTATTAAAGCATATAGTTTTTTTTAAAAAAAGATTAATATGACCAAAAACAAAATTACATGTCACCCCCACAACAGCGTCGTTTGCTGCTCTTTCTTTATCATCTTCGCTGTGTCCCCAGTCTCTCTCTAAGACACTCTGTCGACGGAAGTGAAACCCTAGCTCTCCCCATCGCCGATTCACGGAATTGAGTAAGTTTTCTCGAAAATCATAGGTCAATGAATCA